TGTTATAGTTTATTTAATATTTCATTTTCACTTAATTGTTAGTAGTCTATTTGTTTTGGCCTTGGTGTTATATATTAAGGCATTAATTATGGGGGGTAGGGTTGTTCGTTTTTTGGTGTTTGTGTCTGTGTATGTATATATTTGCACATGCACGCACACGCGTATAGGTGCGTATTTGTTCGTTTATTTATTTATTAATAAATTAAGTTATATTTATTTCGTTTGTTTATTTATTTAAAGTTTGTATTATATTTATTTTATTTATGTTTATTTGTTTATTTTTTATTAGTGCTTAGATGTTAAAGTAAGTATTTTTATATGCCTACATTTACCCATTATTTCAGTTTTCTTGTTTATTTTTTAAATAATTATTGCTAATTTATCTTCTAAGCATAATTTACAATTTTTAATTTGCTCATTTTATAAGTTCCCATTTGATTATGTGGCAGATATTGTCTTCTTTTTGGCTCCATATTTAACTTGATAGCCTTGTAATGTTTAAGTATTTTTCTTTCAAACAACCTTTTGTGGTTATAATATTTTTGATTTTTTTTTCTGTAGCGCCTATATATTTTTTTCGTCTGTGAACGTTATTAGTTACGATAGCTTTGTAAAGTATGTTATTGGTCAAACATTTATTGTTAAGTGGGCAATTTTCTTTGTTTCTGCAGTTACATTTAATGGTGTTATTTTGTTGCATGTTATTGTTGTTGTTGATGAATTTATTGAGTATTTTTATTAGTATTATATACGTTATAATTAGTGGATACACGTCTCTGCTTTTTAAACATCATATTTTTTTTATCGGCGTGAGATTTTCAAAAGTTTTAATGAAGACAGTGTACTCTTCAGCAGGTATTGAACGTATGTTCCCTCTTATTTAGGTGAAAACTACTGTATAACCAGGCGTGCTTCTAGACCTGGACAGCCAAGGAGGACTTCACAACAAAACAAAATTGAATTACCCTTACGAAGCAAGTCTCTCATTATGATCTTTCAAAAACCATATCTGCTAACTCTTATTTTCGTATCCGAAAAGTAAAGTAACTTTAAGGAATTAATGGACTTTTATCGACAGCTCGACATTATTTATTCTTACTCTATTTTTTGTACTAATGTTTTCTCAATAAAAGGCCAAGAGTCACTCAAGCTAGAGGGCAGGAAGTGAAGTACGTACGTGACGTCCCAGTTGTAAATGCCATGGGTGCTGGGACTAGGAATGTTGCTTGTCAGAACATATACCATGGAAGCAACCAAGAGGCTCTCAACATTTTGTCTGTGGGAAAAGTATTGTAGGGTGGAAAATAATTCTTCACCTACAAGGGCGCGTAGATTCTTTTGAACTCTATCAAGACAAGAAAGTAAGGTTAAAGACGACCTGTTTGTGTTTGAACTCACTGACATTTTTATACTGATGCTCACTCACTACAAGGCTTAATAGCCACTAAAGGTAGAGAGCTACTTTTTGGCGTTGTATGAGTGTAAGAATTGAAATTCTTGGAGGGAAATAACGGTTAACTCAGACCGGCGGAGGTCAAGATTGTTGGGATTGGGAAAACATCCTGCCGGAGTCTGTTCCACGAAACAGAAATTCATAGGAAGAAGCTAACCGAATGGAAATGATTTCTTACGACTGGAATACGAATGGGGATAATTCATTCTTGCGTGCCGGGTTACACTTATAAAGGCCAGGTGTAGTGGGACTAATGAATGTAGCTCATCAAAATACACGCTGTTGGCGTAGCGAAAGAGCCGTAATAGACTCGCAACATTTCGTCTGTATTAAGGGGGGTAGTAGACACGCGTTTGAGTATACGTCTCTGATTTTTTAAACAGTATATTTTCATCTATGGGCCAGTGTATTTGACTCTCTAATAAAGAGAACGTGCCCTTCAACAGGATTCGAACATTAATACGAAATAATGTCGGATTAAGAATGCAAATCTAATAATTCCTTTTTTACATATATGTATATAGACGGACCATTTTATATTTTAATTTCGCGCATGCGCTTTGTTTGTTTTCTATTTTTTCGACTATACAGTATAGTAGGGTCATTTGGGTACTGTTTGTGAGACGCAATTCACAGCGCCAGAAATTTGGAAACAACATGCTGTACTGATTGACATTCGCACCGGAAGCTCCAATACAAAGATTCCAGTGTGATGACAGTGCAGATGAAAAAGGAGACCGTTGTCTGGAGGCTGAAGATGAAGTCAATGGCAATTTTATTGAACAAATCTACTCTTTAGTATTTCAAGATATTGTGTAATTTTGGAAAATATATCTGTTAAAATGAGATGTCAGTGATTGTTTAATTGAGACGACAATCTATCCCTCACACCCAGCATATATATATATATATATATATATATATATGAAGAAATATAATCTTAAGGCGTGCTATATTTATGGGATAAAGTGCTCAATAACAGAGATAGAGCGTGTGTAAATATAAAGGTGACAGTCTGTTTCATGATAGACGCAATCGTCAGGCTACAACGATTGCGTCTAACATGAAACAGACTGTCACCTCTAAGTGTTGACTTCAATGTTCACTTTTATATATATATATATATAATTAAAAAATCCCAAATCATGTTATATGGGAAATAGCCTATTTCGGCAGACGAAGATATCGGTCGTTTGTCTTATTCAACCCCGGTGTGGACTGAGTTCGTGTCAGAAATAGAAATTTAACTGTGAAAGCTTAAAAAAATAATACAGAATTTATCCATTTCAATGTTTCAGTCAGACGAAAGGCACGAGACAGTGGTTAGAAGAAGGTGGAATGTATTTGTCGTAAAGGGAAGAATTTATATATATATATATATATATATATATATATATATATATATATATATATATAAAGACAAAAGAAAATTTATGCTAGCCTACGCGTTTCGTCTTTTGTGTGATTTTATTAAAGCAAATGTAAGAATTTTATATACAAGAGCAACAATGTTATTGCTTTTACCTTGTTTTTAAGAACGCTTCATAAATATTCATGTGTCGCCTAAGATAAGTTTTCCTTTTGTCTTTCTTCATATTGGCCTTTTAAAGACATACGCTATCTGAAAGTTTTACACACACACACACACACACACACACACACACACACACACACACACACACATATAGATAGATAGATAGATAGATGATAGATAGATAGATAGATAGATAGATAGATAGATAGATAGATAGATGATATATACACACATATATATATATATATATATATATATATATATATATATATATATAGTAGTAGTAGTAGTAATAAACATATAAGTATAAGAAATTATACAAGAAATTATACTCGTCCGGAATACATTCGGAGTCTTGATTTGCGAATAATCAAACCAATACCAAAGGTAAAAAAAAAGGTATAAAAAAAGAAAGAACCAAGAACATGTACGTTAGCCGAAAATAATCGTCTAGCATGCAAGTCCAAAGCCCGAATAATAAAAAAAAACCGATACGAGTGAGCAAAATACCTATTTAAACCTAGAGAGCCAGACAAACCTACCAAAGTTTCACCTAAGCGGATCGTCAGGGAATGCTGGCTTTAAAAGGTAACAAAAGAACGAGATATTTATAGTCTATAAAGAAAAAATATATATATATATAGCTAAACCTAGAGAGCCAAACAAAACTACCAAGGTTTCACCTAAGCGTTGTTTGGAGGGGGGGGTCACGTGGTTATGATTTTTTATAGACTAAATATCCTTGTTTATATATATATATATATATATATATATATATATATATATATATATATATATATATATATATATATATATATATATATATATATATATATATATATATATATGATATGATATACAGATATATATTTTTATAAATTAAGCAGAGTATTAAGGAAATTGTAAAGACAAAATGGAAAAAATTTATTTGTGACACGTTTCATCCGTCAGAATAAAACGTGTACGCGCATACACACATACAATCACATGCACATGATCTACTCTAATTCAGTAATTTTCATTTTCTCTAAAACGTAAATCTTGTTACTCTATATTTACTATGTTTTATTTTGTCTGGAACAATGTTCCAGAATTGACGCACTCTATGAAATTCGATCCAGCTAATAATAATCTGCGAGACGAACTTTCTACTGTTTGCTCAGTGACGAGAAGGGAAGGTAAACAGAGGTCTGTATGTATTTTTACATGTTTATGTGTGTGTGTTTCGGTTCCTTTGTTATTTTCGATAGCTGAGATTCGGTTGCTTGTCTCTCTTTCCCGAGAAGACACCTGCACCAACTGTTCTCAACACAAGCCACCCACCGCGTTATTTTAAACAATTCCGCCACCTTCAAATTGTTCGGTGACCATGCGTAGGAGTTTGACCATTCTCCGGTCAAGAGGACCGGGTTTTAACTGGCAAAAAGACAAACACTTTTTATTCGGCCCTCATACCGACACGAAGAAGTGTCCTACCTTCCTTATTTGTCTTCATTAACTCTTCGGCCTAAAAAGGTTAATCGTCCGTCATTTACAAACCGACAGAAAATGTCGTTTCTAAACGCTTACACTTAAATAAAACAGGCAGAGTAGGGAGAGAAAAATGAAAAATGCTTTCTTTGTTGATGATTTGCATTTAGAAAACTTGTTTTTCTAAACGAGTTAAATTGAGTTACTATCGCGTGGGAGTGGACCATCCTTTGGCTGTCTTTGTGTTTTTGATTCCCCTAAATAAACGGTCTGGTTGGACGTTGTTGGGCTATTGGCTAGATCTAATTTACCTATTTATAGATCCATACAGGCACAAAAGTGTGAGCCTCTCTGAATGCTCAGACTAATGAAACCCGAGTTCGGATCTCAATATAATTGATTTTTCAAGGAGCTGACTTCTTTATTGATTCATTCATTGTTTACAGCTTATCAATCCTTTCCAGGTTATTCCGGAGATTAGAACTCGGATCTCTTATTAATAATTCCGAGCCATTATCTATTGCTAATACCCGCACATCCACGCTTACAGTACCTGATATTCCCAAGCGGTCATCCATCGAGGTACTGACCAGGCTCAGCGTTGCTTAACTTCGGTGATCGTAAGTCTGACTTCTTGATAGCATCGTTTGGGGAAATGATCGCAGGGTGTCGCATCACTGGGGAGTGCCTGAAAATCATACTTTGGGCTGACGCAAGACTAAAAAGTGTTCGGAAGTTGTCGATGGCATGAAGTCACAAGTCATCGTGACTGAGTTTGTGAGTACTGGCTTTGTTCTATTATTGATTAGACTAAATTGTGCGCTCTGCTTCATAAAATACTGTAATTAAGGCGTTTTTATACTAAGGGCCACCCAATACAAGGCTCAAGAGCTACTTAAGGTAACGGGTGTCAGAATAAGAAAAGGTAAGAAATGAAGTTCATGATGTAATACAGGAAAGATAGCAGTTAAACCCTAGACTTGAAGAGGTCAAGATTATGGCGGGGATGGGAAATTAACCTTCTTCTTCTTTTATGTGCCTGTGCCTTGTCCCTTCAAGGCGTAGGCGATCATGGCTCTCCACTTCACCCTATCCCTTGTAGCTCTCAAAAAGTTTTGTCCCTTTGCTACTTCTCCCAGACCCTGTTCTATCATCCACTTGCTTAAGCCCGCTAGATATGTCACGCATTGCTTTCCCTTGTCTCTTTTTCATTCTATTCGCCCTGTGAGTATCAGATTCTCGAAGCCCTCCTTTCTTATTACGTGACCCAGAAATTTCTGCTGCCTCTTCCTGATATTAAGTATGACCTTCCTCTTTGACTGCATCCTCTCCAAAACCTCATCGTTGCTCACCCGCTCGGTCCATGGTATCCTTAGCATCCTTCTGTAGAACCATACCTCCGATTTCCTACTGTATCCACAAAGTAACAGTTCTTGGGAATTAGCTGTTCAAGGGGACAGCTTCTTACTATTAAAAAAAACTGTATATATATATATATATATATATATATATATACAGAGAAAGAGAGATAACGATGTGATTGGAATCGATAGATAATGATGGTATATATCGATAATGAAGAATTTGAGATAGATAGATAGATAGATAGATAGATAGATAGATAGGTAGGTTGTCCAGACGTAAATCTCTTTTATGTTCATAGATACAGGCTTTTAGAACACGTAATGTCTCCCCGATATAAACTTTTCATATTGTAAGTTATTTATTCGATAAGTACTGGCATTTGAATTAGTGTTGAATTTACATTCCTTTCTAATTACATCTCTAATTGTTTTGGACATGGTGATAATTTCCTAATAATTGGGAGAACTAAGTTATTTTAAAGTTTTAAAAAGAAAAGTTTAGTGAAAAAGGGATAGATTGAAGGGATAGATAGATAGGGATAGATATAGATAGATAGGATACATTATGAATTTTGATGTTGATAGATTTTAGATTATGAAGTTTGCTATTGAAGGGATAAGATAGATAGATAGATAGATAGATAGATAGATAGATAGATAGATAGATAGATAGAATATATGAACATATGAAAAGGTTTAGATAGATAGATAGATAGATAGATAAAGGTTTAGATAGATAGATAGATAGATAGATAGATAGATAGATAGATAGATAGATAGATAGATAGATAGATAATGAACATATACAGATAGATAGATAGATAGATAGATAATAGATAAAGGATTTAGATAGATAGATAGATGATAATATAGATAGATAGATAAGAAAATAGATAGATAGATAGATAGATAGATAATAAAATATATACAGATAGATAGATAGATAGATAGATAGATAGATAGATAGATAGATAGATAGATAATGAAATATACAGATAGATTGAAAAGGTTTAGATAGATAGATAGATAGAAGATAAGATAGATAGATAAATGAAATATACAGATAGATAGATAGATAGATAGATAGATAGATAGATAGATAGATAGATTAGATAGATAATGAAATGTTTTGAAAATAGCTGAATAAAGAGCTCTTTTCATAATCTTTTGTGAAATCTTTTTCATTGTAATTCATTCTTTCATTATAGTATCAGCCTCGAAGAATATGCACCACAATGACAAAAGAGAGTCAAAACGTAGGAAATGTCATTGCGAACAACAAAAGTCAAGAAGATGTGGAGAACCATGATCGCCCACAATCTGTAGTGACACGACACAGAGAGATCCTCTCTACGTATTTCATTTCTTCATCTCTTACCGTCTCGAACATAACAAAGAAATGCTAAGCTCATCTTGTCTGTTGAATGCATTGATCGAACAACAGTCCAAAGAATCAATACAGAAGAATTCTTATTAAAATACTACTCTGCTCGAATTACGATGTGGTTTTCGCCCGTTTCTTCCCAATTGTTTGCGGTTCGGTGTTGGCCGGTCGAGAAGCCAGACACATTTCTTTGTTTGCTTTCCCTCAGTGCTGTTTAGTCATTTTGAGAATTATTATTATTATTATTATTATTATTATTATTATTTATATATGGCGTCCTTGATCAATTAAATCATATCCAACTGCCTCGGATATATCATCATTTGTAACGCCATCAAGTAAACGTTCAGATCTCATCGAGTCTCACTGGAACGCGAGATGTTGTACGAGATTGGACGATATGTTGTAATATTGTATAAACCTTTTTTCCACCTCACAATAATACGTCTTTTGCAAAAATTTCTTACATACACACCCACCAACATATTTATCTATTGTTAAATTTGAAAACTCTTTGTCTCACAACACATCTATAAATGTAACCAGGGTGAATTTAAAATTATGCCAATATATCAAATAGACAATAATTCTTACCTACAAATACAAGAACAAAAAAACTTCATAAACAAATTTAAACCAGCACTAAATAGATCATAAACCCACACACAAAAAGACAGAGCATGAACACATAATGGCCAAATACAGTGGTCAAACCACTTACATGTATATACACATACTCACACGCGATTATGTGGGGAGCACGAATATATTTACACAAATTGGCAAAAACATTTGGACAGCTCACAAGCACATACACGAACCCTAAACAACAGGAAGTGTATATATATATATATATATATATATATATATATATATATATGTGTGTGTGTGTGTGTGTTTGTGTGTGTGTGTGTGTGTACTAATTCCTTATAATAAGACAGTATGTATGGATGGAGAGGGAATATACATGTACATACGCATACTAACAAAAACACACACAAAAAAAAAAAAAAATGGAAATAGATGTAAGAACACACAGGGGTCATTAAAAAGATAAGAATACAGATATCTCTCCTCAGCCTTTCTCGGACCAATCTTAATTGTTTTACTACCCTTCAAGGAGAAGAACTTTCTCACTGCCAGTTCAAGAAAGACGTCTTTGTCGCTACCATACAAAAAAGAGAATGTTCAACATCGAGAATGCTTAACATCGAAAAACATATGGAAAATTAATTCTTTTTAATAATATGTGGAAATATCAACTCTTTCGCTGAAGAAAGAAGCGTAAGCTGAAACGCGTGTTTCAAAATTATGGAAAATAAAGAATAATATATAGTTTAAAAAAAAAAACTACATTACGACCAAAAATGTTTGCGGTTTATCTCTTCTTTTCAAAGTGTACACTTTTCAATCGTTGGAACAACTATAACCTCTTCCCTTCATATATATATATATATATATATATATATATATATATATATATATATATATATATATAAAATTAAAAAGAAAGAAGAAAGGTGACGCAAACGTTTTTGGTTGTAATGTGTTTTTTTTTTAGAAAAAAATATTATGCTTTATTTTCCATAATTTTACTACACGGGTTTCTGGTCTCGTGACCGTCTTCAAGTAAAAGCGGAGATTTCCACATATTATTAGAAATAATTAATTTTTTCCTTATGTTTTTCAATGTTAAATATTCTCGATATGAGACATTCTGTTTTTGTGTTAGTAATTCGAATGTCTTTTTTGAATTGGCAATGAAGAGTTTTGCGCGAAGGGTCATAAAACAATTAAGGTTTGTCCAAGAGAAATGATGAATTACTTATCAGCATTTTATCTTTTAATGTTTTACTGACCCCTATGTGTTCTTGGATCTGTTTCCATTTTCGTGTGTTTCTGTCAGCATGCGTGTATATATGCGTGCGTATATTTCCCCTCTATACATATACTGTCTTACTACGAGGAATTAGTAAACTCATTTGTACACATACACACATACATACACATACGCACATACATTGGAACCACTACAACCTCTTTCATATATATATATATATATATATATATATATATATATATATATGTGTGTGTGTGTGTGTGTGTGTGTGTGTTTTCAACGTGTGAGTGTATGTGTATGAGTACATACAAGGTTTATATATATATATATATATATATATATATATATATATATATATATATATATATATATATGACAGTTCTCAGTTTAATACAGTTTCCATAATCTATCAGTAGGGTAAATAATTTTTTTGAAGGGCGTCTTGGTCGGGCCGAACAATTTTTACCAACATTTTTACTGTGTATATATATATATATATATATATATATAACTTTCGGATAATAAGTGTGACATTTTTGTAATTATTGAACAATATAGTTCATGCCACATTGACGGAAAACCTACCAGTAAAAAAAAAGAATTCTCTTATTACTATATTTGTACAAAAACGCACAACCTTAAAATTTAATATTCAAACTCAGCGTTGGGACCGCACGTTCCAAAACAATAACACATTTCTCATAGCATATTTTTCGGATTACATCTATATTTTCGTTGTCCTCTTATTACCGAGAAGTAAAAAACAAGAACAAATCTATTTCCATTCCTGAGGATATCTGTAGGAACAGACGAAAGCTTGTAAAAATTAAAAAAGACCTTATGAAACTGGAATTTATAAACAGGGATCATATCATTCATATACAGGTTCGGGGTTAGTGCAACCTATTGAAATTGTTTGCGAAGATGTATTCCCCCCATTTAAATCATTAACCTCTATATTTGTTTTTTGTATGAATGATTCATGTAATTATATATATATTTATATATATGTGTGTGTGTGTGTTTCTCTCTTTC